TTTGGGTGAAAGTTTACAGACTGAGTTTTTTGAGGACAGGGTCCAGGTCTCATCTTTATATCTCTCGTGTTGGCAATAAATGTTTACTGAGTAACTACTGAACTCAGTGGCTATGTGATGAATAAGTTAGCGAGTCCCCAGTAGAGTGAAGGGTCCTAGAGCCAGTCTTCTTCAATTCCAGTCTCACCATTCCTCCCTGGATATCACTCTCAAATGCCACATTCCAATCCCTCCCCTGGCTCTCTATTACATCTCCACCCTCACTCCCAGCCAGAGAACCATCTCTACAGCACCTTCTTGTCCTGCAGGTCTGTGGAGAGTTCATAGCTGTCCGATAGGGCCTTGGAGCGCTTTATCTCCTCCTCCTCTTGCTTCCTCAGGGCGACACTGGCTGGCTGGAGGCGTGCCCGCTGAGCCCAGGGAAGACCCACCCCAACAGGGGGGGTCCCCATGTGGCTGCTGGTGGGGGGCAGCTGGCTCATTCGGTAGGGGGGTTGACTCCCAGGACTATCAACTGCTGTGCTCAGGTCACTGCCTGGAGTATCACCCTCCACACTGTGGGGATGAGATAAGATGAGCTAGGACATGGGAACAGCAGAGGGGCCTACTGGGGCATACTGAGTGCTAGACAAATATCCCTCCCCTCAGTCTAATTCACCCCATCTTCCTCATGGATATGGGAACCCCAACACATAAAGGCTCGAGAGGAGTCTGTTCCCTCAAATTATCTCCTTACTGCCCTCACAATTCCTTCCTTTCAGGCCCCCTTGCCTTTATAGCCCAATCCCCATTCCCCTTCAGTCCTGTCCCCTCAGAGCTCCACCCTCAAACTCCCTCTCCCCACATCACAGATTCTGTTCCCTCACAATTCCATTCTCTTAGACTCTTTTTCTTCAAGCCTCTGTCTTCTCACTGTCTTGTTCCCAGTCCTATTCACCCCTCATGGCCACTTGCCCTCACATCCTTATCCCCAGACCAGTTTCCTTTCAGTCCCTCAAACTCCTTTTTCTAATAATTCTGTCTCATAATAGCTCCATCCTCAAATCCTCCTTCTCCCAATAGACCATTCCCTTTCCTCACAGCTCCATCCCTGTATGGTCCTGGGGAACAGTGTGCTAATGGTTTCCCTTCCAGCACTATCTCTAGTACTACACTCTCTTAGACATGTTCCCAGGTGCCAGAGGCCCATTCCTGCATCCTGCCCATCAAAGCTCTCCCACCCTCCCCTGCCCAGCCCTGCCCCTTGCAGCTCCGCCCCTGCCCTCAGCTGCCTGGACTCTTGGCTTGGCCAGTTCCCAGGGTTCCCTGGCTATGAGAGAGAGAGAGAGAGCGAGAGAGAGAGCGCACTGGCTCAGTGACAGTAGAAGGCACCTCCCATCCAGCATCCTCACAGGTAAAGAGCTGCCCTGCGGGGCAGCTTCCTTTTTCTCTTCATGGCCTCCTGTGTTCAGCTGAGGAAGGGGGCAGGGACCTCGATGCCCAAAGGTAGCAGGAACTGGGCACCAGGTCTTGCCTGTCAACTCAGAGCTGTTGTTCCGCCGGAACCTGCTCCCATGGTGCCATGGCAACCAGGCTGCCAAGGAACCCAGGTGGTGACAGAGCCCAGGCGCCCTGAGCTGCGACAGGCATGGTGAGGAGCCAAAGAGGTGGGAAAACAGAGGAGAGGTCGGGAGGGGAGGAACAGGCAGGAGAGGCATGGAGGGAGGGGGGTTGTGGAGGAAATGGGTATGGCTTGGGTCCAGTGTTAGGTAATGCTGAAGCCCAGAGAATGACTGTTTTTGGGGACACAGGATTGCAGGGGCTCTTGGCTGGTGAGAGGGTTAAGGGGCCTCCCCCAGCCCTACCTTGCAGAGGCCAGGGTGCCAGGTAGGGGAAAATTGGGGTGGGTGTGGGGCATTCCCTACTAGTGCAGGAGCTTGAGCTGCAGAAGGCTTGCCAGCCTTGCAGAAGAGCACTGCAGGCACCACATGGGGGCTGTGAGGCCAAGGGCTGGGGGTGGTGGGGAGACTGTACCCACAAGGCAGCTTGGCCCCATTCTGGCGACAATTCCCATCCACTGTATATTCTCCACCCTTCCAAGTGCTAGTTTATAGCACTGCCAAGTCGGTCTTAGTCTGAAAGCTCCACTGAAACCTGTCTCTGCCAATATTTGAAATACCAATGGCATAGCCTCCAGCCTCACAGCAACACAGAAGCCACCATGGTACCACAAACTGACAGACGAGTGGTGGTACTACCAGGAGCAGGGCAGAAACAGATGCGAACTTCCCTCCACCCCAAATACTTTCTCCTCCTGGGCCTCAGGGACCCTGACATCACCCTCCAGGGGACAGACCCAACCCAGCCCACCCCAAGCATCTAAGATGCTCCTCTCCTCCCCCTTAGGACTGCAAGATCCCACCAACCAACCTCTTAAACCTCTCCCCTCCCAGCACACAGCTCAATCCCTATTTGTTTCCTCTATTCATGAACTATCCATAGCTCCCACTGCTCACAGAGATAGCTCAAGTTCCTTATTCTGGGATTTAAGACGTCTCCAAAGTGCAATACCTAATACTTATAGCTCACTTAGTATGTTCATACACTGTTTTCATCACTTCACATTCAATAACTAGTTTACTCGTCAGTCAACTCTATGGGCATTGTTATTTATCTTAATCTCACACATAAGGAAACTGAGGCTCAGAAAAGTTAAGTAATGTATCTATGATCACATAGCTATTAAGGATAGAGCTAGGATTCAAATCTAGGCAGTCTGATTCTGGAGCCCACATTCTTCAACACTAAGCTGTACTGCAGGGTGGGCTACCAGCCTGGCTCCGCTCCTGTTTCTTCCAAATACTCCTCTGCCTTCCATCTCTGAAACTTTGCTCATACGGTATCTTCCACCTGAAATGTAATGTCCATCATCTCTGCCACCTGCAATCTGAGAAATTACCCCATGTCCCAGTTCTGTCAAGGTTCAGGTCATATGCTACCTTAAGAAGCCCTCCTGAATACTTTCTCCAGCCAGAAAGCATTGCTGATCATGTTCAGAGCTCCCACCCACAGCACATATCTATCCTTCTTTTTATGGCGCAGGTTAGCTTTGGCAAAGCATTACAGCTATTTGTGTTCATGACTCCCAGAATCCTAGTACAGGAAGAGAACTTGGTAGTCTCCTAGATAGTACAGAACACAGGGCCTGGCACAGAACAACAGGTGCTCAATAAAAGCTTCTGGAGCAAGGGAGTGGATGAATGAACTCTGGCAGCTGCACTAATACTCTCACCTGAACTTTTACCACAGCCTCCAATCTCCTCTTTCACTCCATTTTCCATCCTGTGGCCAGAGAGAGCTTGCAAAAAGTACAGATCTGATCATTTCACTCTCCCATTTAAAACTTTTCCATGGCTCCCCACCATTCTTTTGACTGGAATTGAGCATTTTCTATGCGCCAGGCACAGTGCTGCTGCTGTTGTTATTAACTGCTATTGAGTTGCCCCCAACTTGTGGAGTCCCAATACACAATGGTATCAGACCATTGTGATTCCTAGAATTTTCATCAGCTTTTTTGGAAGTAGGTAGCCAGGCCTTTCTTCCTAGTCTGTCTTAGTCTGGAAGCTCCACTAAAACTTGTTCAGCATTATAGCAACATGCAAGCCTTCACTGATAGATGAGTGGTGGCAGTGCATAAGGTACCATTTGGCATAGCGCTGGGTGCTGGAAATATAATAGTGAACAAGATGCACAAGATTTGTTCCTTCGTGGAGGTGACCTTCTAATGAGGGAAGCAGACTATAAACAAATATATACTATAATTTAGACAGGGATGGGTGCTAGGAAGGAAAACAAAGCAGAGTGATTGAAGGTTCTGTTTTAGATGTGGTGGTCAAGCAAGGTCTTTGTGAAAAAATGGCACAGAAGCAGAGCCCTGATGGAAGTGTGTGAGTGAGCTGTGGAGCTGAGGCAAGAGCAGTCCCAGCAGAGGGCAGAACTGTGCCTGGTGTTTGAAGAACAGTGAGGAGGCCAGTGTATCTGCAGCAGAGTGAGCAAGGTAATGGGGGCCAAATTGTGAAGGGTATTGAGCCCATGATAAAGACTTTAGCCTTTGCTCGGATTGAGATGAGCAGAGGACGGATATGATCTTATTTAGGTTTTATAGGAACCACCATCTATAAAATAACCTCCAATTTTCTTACCATGGCCATAGGTGGCTCTCTTGACCTTATCCCATCCTTATATATCCTCTGCCCTATTACCCCAACCTGGCTAACTCTAGCTTGCCCAGCAACATTTAGCTCAGGCATGTCCTTCCATGCCCGCCACCCCCTCTACACAGGCTGGCTTACAGATCCACCTCCATCCCTAGGATAGGGGTATTAATTAATTAGCTCATTGAATGTGCACAACTTACTGAGGCAGGCATCATTAGCCCCATTTTACAGGTGAGTACATAGAGAAGTGATGTAAACTTGCTCAAGGTTAAACAGATATTAAGTGAGAAACCTGGAATGTAAACATCTTGTCTCTCCCCATCCTTGGCTCTGCACTTCCCTTGTGTCTCCACTCTTTGGGAATCTCCCTCCTGAGTGCTAACCTACTTTCTGGTTGCAAAGGGAATAGTGGTAGGGTGTCCAGGCTGTCAACATAGCCTCCCAAGAGGGGGTTTGGCAAAAAGGAGAGTGCTTAAGGGGGTTACTACTGACATCATACATATTGCTGAAGAAACAGGACCTGGGATGTGGAATCTCCCAAGTCAGAGCCCCATAGACACTTCAGGCCATGTCAATAACATGGAAAATCTCCTTCTCTGTGTCTCTCTCACACACATATGACATAGAGAACATATGATAGAGTAACAAGCTAGGAAAGGGTAGGTTCGGGTCCTGACTGCCATTTACCATCTGTGTGGTCCTGGGCATGTCAATTCTGCACCAGTTTCTCATCTGTGCAGGACCTGAGCAAAGGCGATCTCCCTTTTGGATTTCTGGGCTTCAGAAAGGGTAGAGAAGACCCCATTCTCTCTGGGCTCCTCAAAATCAGGAGCAAAGTATGCACACACATGTACACACAGAGGCACATACACACAATGAGACATACACAGGTACAAAAATACAGACACATCCAAAGGCCAACAAACCTAGACGCAAACACACCCCCCTACAAACACATGAAAACAGACACAAACCAATACAGACAAGCACATACATAATACAACCACACACAGAGAATATGTGCAAACCAACATGCACACACCCCTGCATCCACATACACTATCTGCTGAGCTATTCTGTGAGGGAAATTGGAGAGTGTCCTCTGCAGATGGAAAATAAGCCATATTGCACAAATAACCACAGCACAAAGCAGATAATTAGCACAGCTAAGGAACAGAGGAAGTGCTAGGGCCACCCAGGAGAAAGATCCCTTCTGCCTGGGGGTAGCTGAGCGGTATAAGATAGAAACTCACACTTACTGCACATCTTTCCTGTAGCAGGCATTTTCTGCACATTATTTAGTCTACATCACAAACATGAGGGAAGAATTAGAATTCTTATTTTACAGATGAAGAAAAA